AAAGCAGTCATAATTATAATTGCAACAACAACAACAACAACAACAACAACAACAACAACAACAACAACAACAACAACAACAACAATATTGGCTTTTATTGCAAACTGGGTCACAGTATTACATTATACTGTATGTATATATTACTATCATTTTTTTGTCAATTCTTAATATTAATGGACTGAAAAAAACACACCAAAATTGGACAAAAAAAATCATATTTTGTGTAAGAATGAATGAGAACCACCTGAAACCCATAAACGTTTCTCATTCTGTACAATTCAACGTGTTACAGAATACACATCAGTGTCAGGTTGACTTGTCTTCTGTGAAACTCATAACTTGGCTCTATATACAGTACATTAATATTTTCCACCCTTTCTAAAGGAATGTGTGGGTGGGTGCGTTCTGTTTTGGCCCAGTACCCTGACATGCAGGAAGGACCCACTGTGCCTTCTGTTATTTACCTGCTCAATTTTGTGTTTCCACTTTCAAAAATAAGAGTACTCTGAGATTTGGTTGTAGTAGGAAAAGGGCGTTCTGTGACTGAACTGTGTACATGACTTCTACAGAACCTAGACATTACATCTACTTGATTAACCGAAATTTGAATGATTTACTAGGGACAGTGTCAAGCAATGCCATTGATGAAGCTAGGTTAATGATGATGAAGAACATAAATGGCCTTCTTTTACATTTTCAGAGAAAGATATATGATTGCAAGGTGGACTTTGAAGTCCAATGTTATCCAAATTCTTGATCCAATAGGGGTGTAGCACCATGCATCCATCCATCAATTTTGTAACAGCTTTTTCCAATACAGAGTCACAGGTGAGCCAGAGCCTATCCCGGCAAAGCACTGTATGCAAAAGAAATTACTGTGTAAAAAGAGTTGTTCATATACAGTACAGTACTTTTTATTACATCTGAAGTACGTCATTCATTCTTATAATACTAAAAATGTAATCTGGGAGGTCTCTGTAATGTAATTTAACCTTTAAATGTTTTGAACCACAAATTTACCGTCTGTATCCCCAAGAGTTTTTAACTAACTGGGGCATCATTTGTTTTAAGGAAGACAATTGCGTTATTTTTATACACGATTCTGATACAGTGTATATTTTCAAAATATAGATATTTATAATGTGTAGAATTAAAATTGAAGCCAGCTGTGTACCTTATCACATGGCCTTTTTCAGATCGACTTCAAAAAACGTGGCTTTCCTGTATGTGCTTTAGAATACGGATTTGCTGTAGGGGATTAAGAGTGCTTAGCAGGGAAGCCTGCATTACGGTAGTGGGTTTAAAATCACTGGGATTACTAATGCTCTCTGCTTGTTGTTTTTCTTTCTCCTGATATGGGAGCTCTGCATTATTGATAGTGGCTCCGGCTAGCAGACAGTTGATTTATTGGAAAGCGCAGAAGCCGTCAGTCTGCAGGAGCTGCAGTCCTTGTGTTCTCCTCATCCTTCTCTAAATGCAAATGTTACAAAATAGCAGCTAGTGTCAGCAGCTCAGCACATAATGGGTGCCAGTTTGTAGCAGGTACAGCTGGGATTTTCTGGCAGGCACAGACACAATATGCCCAGCATGCCTTTCAGTTTACTAGCGTTTGCTTGGTGCAGAAACCTCCTGATGCACAATCCCATGCAGCATGATGCTGGGAAAAATACCCGAGCACCTACGCGCAGGAGGATAGGAAATGTTACAGGCCTCGTGATTTATAGTTTGATTACGCGCTGCTGATGAAATATTAGCGTGTGTGCTGGAAGTGGGTCGTGCGGTATTATTTCTTTGCCATTTTTGTGGAAGGAAAAAAAAAACTGTCATGTGTTCTGGCAGAGAAAGCAGCAGCAGCAGCAACAGCGAGTCATTAAGTCAGACTGCACCATTTTCTCCTGGTTCGCCTTGTGCTGAGGTGCAGCTGGAGAGCTGTAAGGCGCTTACTGTCCTCCCCCGCTCCCCCCTGTCTTTTCTGTGCGTGTGGCTCCTTCCTTGATTTAGTCAGAGGACACAGGCTTGCTCTGGGTCCCAAAAGGCCTTTTTTTTTGCTATTACTGGATTTAGGGGGATGTATGTTTTTTTTTTTTCTCTGACGATGGCTATCTGCTTAACCTAAAGCTTTCGCCTTCAGCATCTGATGTCTCTGCAGTTCTGGGGAGAATCCGCCAGCTCTCTGCTTACCTTCATTCACGGGCGTTAAAGAACCACCCCCCACCCACCCCCCCTTCACACACACACACTCTTCTACTAAAATACTCTCTCACACTTCTGTTGCATCATTAAATGGAGATGGAAGCTTCTTCTGGAAGAGACCTGCTCAGCTGAGCCTGTAACAGAAAGTGCCGATGCCTCTTTGAAACGGTTAGAATCCTGGCTCGCAGCCTGCGCCCTTGGCAGAAGTCACCTGGATTTTATTGACCCTCCTGCGAAGTGATCACTGGGAGCTGGTGGTTCCTTGCTGTCAGACCATGGCTCACGCTGCTGCTCACATTAAAAAGGCCAGGGAGCTCGATCAAGCCCCTGATTTGAAGGAGCTTGAAAAAGCCAAGGAAAGGAGAAGGCGCTCCCGGGAAAGAGCCGAACGTAAACGCAAGGTATGAAAATTCCCCCCCCCACCACCCCCATCCTTTCCACTGCCACCACCAGCCACTAACCACCACTGCCGGTGCTTTTCCGGGAGAGCAGATATCCATCGCGGCTTATCATTCAGTGCATCATCTGTCTTTTCATCATTGCCTCTCACTCCCTGCATTGTGGCTTCTGTGCCACCCCCTGCTTCAGCCTGTGTGCTCAAAGAGCCGAATGGAGCCACACAAAGATGGCCACTGGTCCCAGAGCATCTTGTCCTCTAACTCAGGCGTTTTTTCATCCAAGGTCCTTTAAAATAAATTCAGACAAACGATCTTTTCTCGTACCCTCATTCTGTGAAACGGCATCTCTCAGGATTTTTTTTTAATTAACTGTTGCATTATCTCTGCGAGGAGTTGCAGCAGGATTTACTGTACAGTGCAATATCTGCAGTGCATTAATACTAAATATCTTTCACTTCACAGTGAACAAATTCTCCTCGCTCGGCACCACAGCAGCTCACAGATTAGGCTGAAATCTTAACAGTTGCCGTTTACAGGCAGATTCTGAAAGGTTCAGAATATTTTGAACAGGTGTAACACGGAAAAGATGTGAATGAAAGAAGATGAAGACAAACATCACATTTGTTGTTGCGAGCTGTTCAACAGGGTTTGACAGTGCACAACGTTTTGGCATTGACTCTGTTGTTCGGGAAGTAAAAATTCAATTTTATAGCTCTTTTATAGCTCCTCTCATAAGGACATATAAAATGATTGTGTGAACCAAAACAATGATAGGCTGGATAACAGCATAACTAACCGGAATATGAGACTGTACCCTGCTTGTCTATCGTGCATACTTTATTAAATTCCAAAGAATATTGTGGGATGCATTTCAGGTCAGAAATGTTGTATCTTCTATGATTCTATCTTTTGTCTCAAGGAATCAATGCAATAAAACTACAAATTATACTTGAAAACTATGATGTTAGCAATATATTGTAATCCTGTTTACCAACCTTTGAAATGATTAAATATCTGCATAAATGTACTGTATGTTTGTGCTGTTTGAGTATTTCCATTGTTTCAATATTGCTAAAATTGTTAATTGAAGAGCTCCTATTAAATATATATTTTCAGAGTAAATTATAAAGCAAGCTTGCTTTTGTAAGTGGGTGTTCTCATTTGAGCCAACTGATTGACTTCCCATCTGTCATTTCTAACAAAAAACAATGCTAGTGATTTTTTAAAGAAATCTTAAAATTTAGCTTCAAATAATTAATTTCCATTCACAGTTCCACACATGTATAATGCAGACTTCACAGAACCTAAATACAGTACAGTGTTTTACATCAGTTTGTATTGTGTGAGACATTTGGAATCTATGTTGTGGCAATAAATGTTAAAATGTCCTTTTAGATTAATACATCGAATATAACTGTTTGAGAACTTAGCTTATTGTTTTTGATGGGTTTTTGGTTCTGCCTTGTCACTTGAACTGCAAAATGGCAAGCCAAGGATAATACACAACACAAAACGATGAAATACAGTAGTCTTCTTGCATTAAAGCGGAATGCTAGAGTTCTTAGTGCACAGAATAGCTTCCGTCCAAGCAAGCATTAGAGGAGCATGGTTTCAGAATCTCCTCCCGGTTCACTAAGGCTGCTTTCCTTTAAAGTGCACAGTGTGCCACTAATCTTCAGTTGCATAACTGTGAAATTGTTTAATGCTTATTCACTACACCATTTGCTGTTTAAAGCATCCGGTGTACAGTAGATGTTCATTAAACAGTATGGCTCGACTACAGAAGAATGATTTGGCCACACCCTTGAAACTGCTGTATATGAGGATGATACTGTTTCATTTAGAGTAGGCATTAGTAAAGCTAAAGTAGTGAAGTTGAGGTTACAAAGAATTTGTATTCATGGTAGGAGAATAGTAACAATATTGATGCATTCTTATGGGTGGGCCAATTGTTTATTCAATGATTAAGTGATAAAAACAAAATTCTGGTGGTGTGTGGTTACATTTAGATTAAATGTTTATGTTTGTAACTTAAAGTGTGTATATTATTATGTATTCTATACTTTTTGGATCATGTGATTTCTACTGTGAAATGCCCTTAAATCCTCTGAATTTGTTTTAATCTCAGTGCTGAGAAAAAGTTTGAGAACTCCTTAGGCTGGTCTGTATTCTTGTGTATTTTAGACCTAACACATTATTAGATCTTCATGAAAGTCTTAATAAAAGATTAAATTAACCTGATTAAATGTATAATACAAAGACATACATCTAAGATATATATTGTACTTTTTAATTAGCAAATTATCCACCAATAAATATCTTCTGTGAATACCTACTGTATGAACAAGTCTGACATTTCCTGTGACTTTATCAGTCTCTCAAATCAGTTGAATTATGGCTCATTATTCGTTTCAGAATTGCCTCAAGTCAGTGACATTTGAGAGTTTCCTTGCATGAAGAAGTCACTTTCCCTCTTGCCATAACATTTCACTGGGGTTTACATTGCCCTTGATCAATCCAAAATACAAAGTGCCTTGCTTTTCTATTGCAGAACTGCTTGCAGGTTTAGGATAATTCTTTTGCTGCTTGTCCCACTTTTGGCTCAGTTTCATCTGATGAATGGAAGGCTTGACATTCTTCTCCAGAATTTGCTGATACGACACTGAATTCTTGTTTCTGTCAATGATGACAATCCTTCTGGGTTCTGTGGCAGCACGACAGCAATAAACCATAATTCTCCCACCTCCCTGCTTGACGGCTGGGATGGGGTTCTTCTGTTGGAAGACAGTATGTTGGAAGATATAATGTTGTACGTTTGACTCTTCTGTCCAAAGGATATTCTTCTAGCAGCCTTGTGGATCGTCTTACACGATCCTCTGCAGATAAGTGCTATAGGTATTGTGATCTTGAATGCTTTTTATTTATAGACTGACAATGGTTGAATGGATGGGGCCTACAGTTGTTTAGAAGTGCTTTTGTAACACTTTCTAGAGTCAGACAAAGAGTATAAACTATTCTTAGTTTGAAGTCCTCTAAAATCTATTTTAATTGTAGGATGTCACATTTCCATTAAAATGTATTGAGAAAACCAAACTCGCAATGTTTGAGCATTATAGTAGGACTGGGCTGCCCAAATTCCTTGTTTACTTGTTACCCAATTATTTAACCATCTGATTCAATGTCATTAATAAAATGGTTGATCACTTATTATTTAAAATACACTGATTGTTATTTTTTCTGTTTCATACACTATTGCATCTCATAAACCATTGGAATAGTAGTAAATACAGTATAAACCCTTTTGGTTACTTAAGAAATGGCTGGTTTTGATCAGTCAAAGTATTGTGGTAAGAATGCTTGTAATTGTAAATCCCATAATTATTTTGGCGTTTCACTAACTTTTTCTTGGCACTGTACCTTTGGAGTTCTTTCTTAATGAAAGGCCCAATGCACAGTGATATCTGAGAAGAAGACTGCTTCATCTCATCCTATTCACCAGATGGAGAATATTTTAAACAGGTGGGAGAGCTTGATGCTAGTGATCAAGTGCAGTAGGTCCAGAGTAGGTCTTTGGGGCCGCTCAGAAAAGCAATGCAAGATACCCACAACCTCTCATTTCTGCTAAGGCCATTCAATGCAACGCAACACAAACCTTGTAATCCCCTAGGCGAAAATAGTTTGGACACTGGAACAGCATTATGTTGGACAAAAAAGAAAAATACATTTTATTCCTATTAGTTTTCTTGAGGCCAGGTCATGGCACTGACTAGTAAACACAATGCCCTATAAGGTAGTGACCTGTCACACTACATAATGGAAATACTTCCTAATTGGATCCTCATACGTTCCTCATTGACACGGGAAAAGACTGACAGGGAAATCTCTAAGATTGACAGGTCTAGTAGTATATTTGGTGACATTCAACCTGCCCTTTATGATCGGTAGGCCATACAGTAGGTACTACAATCAGCATGGAGAGCCCAACTGATAAATGTTGATGGCTAACGCCCGGTTTCTTTGTGGACTACTTCCAAAAACCTAATGCTAAACATAAACAGCAAAGCTTTCTCTGAGTTCAGAGCCATGATCCATTTTTTATTTATTTATCCCTTATTTTTAAGGTCTTATTTGGAGTTGAAAACATCTGATTTGAATGTCCTTCAGAAGCAGAATCCTTTCTGTCTTGCTTGCCCTGCTCAGGGCCTGGAAGATCAGTTCAGCTGCAGGGCCGGTGTGGTTATGGGGTAGACTGTCCTGTTTCCTATCCTTTTTTGTTTTGTTCTGTGTCCTATCATTTCTTATCATATAGGTTCACAAAATCTATTAGATTGGTGAAGATGTTAAATTAAAATCCTTTAGCAATGGTGCTCACTGGTTCCAGGTCTTTTTCTCAGTTTGCTATAACCAGAGGAACACATAAATGCTGCCCTCTGACCCTCGAATCTTTGCCATTTTATTATAGCCTCTGGCAAAAACACTCCCCCACTCCACCACTTTTGTTAGTAACTATCAGTATCAAAAATATGTTACGCCATATCTCACTGAACGCTAAATATAATGTATTGTGTTATTTTTCATTGGACGTCTCCCCAAATCATGGAATTAATCACTTGCTATTTTCAATTATTTTTACATGCTTCCAGAATGTAATTGATTACTTGTGCTAAGTCAGCCTTGCTTCCTTTAAACAACATACTGTACCAAAAGACATGATGCCTAAAAATCTAAGAATAATCATTTTTATTATCTAAAGTAGGCATTTTAAATGTCACTTTCCCATTTTTTCAGTGGATCATCGTTTAGAAAAGAAAGGTTTCAGTTGATATTTTTGAGCTTCTAAGAACCTCAATTAAGCTATTGATTTCAACAAATGATTTGGGATTATCAAGTACAATTAGAACCCTAAACTTCTCGTCTTTATTACGCTGTACTGTGTAGAATAAAGTTAAGTTAACTTTATGTTTTCCATTATGACTCCTGCCTTGATAAACTAAAATGAAGTG